AGTATTTGTTGAATGAACCACAAAATGAATGAGGAGATCAGAATTTCCCAGGACCTTCTCCACACTCAGGCAGATCTCATTAAAAAGAGATTATTTTCCCTACAAAATGTTTTAATCTAAGTATTGCTGTGTAGCCAAAGTAGATGGTTATCTGCAAGTAATACAATTAGAAGTAATTAGGCTGGTCCAGATTATGAATTGTCTTTTGAATTCACTTTCTGGATGATTAGATTACTCAAAATAGAACTAACCTGAAGTGAGTAAAATGGAAATAATGATGGTAACTGTTTGATAGGGTTGTGGTGGAGACTTAAGGACTTCATATAAGTGAATTGATTACTGTGGTTGTTTTCAGCTGGGAGCAATATTGTCCCCCCAGGGACTTCTGGTAATGTCTGGAGATGCTTTTTTTGTTGTCAAAACTGGGATCAGGAGGACTACTACTGGCATCTACTGCTGAGCGTCCTAGAGTGAGTGTACAGGACAGTTCTCCATGACAGAGAAATACCTGGTCTAAAATGTCAATAGTGCACCATTGAGAACCCTTGGGTTAGTATGAAGTAGGCACATAGTAAGGGATACATTTGTGTTTTCTATTGTTATTTAGTAATGACCTTTCCTACAAAAATTCTCAAAAACCTCCAGAGGGAAGGATGACGCAGAATGGAGTTGAGATCATTAACTCTGGTCAGACCCTCGGGGTTTGAAATCTAGCTTTACTCTTCATTAACTGTGTGATTTGAGCATGTTATTTGACTTCTCTATACCTCCTGTTCTTTGTCTTTAAAATTGGTTTAGTGATAGTAACCCCCTTAGAGAGTTGCTAGGGGCTTGAATAAAAATAATCCATTCAAAACATTTGATTCTGTACAGTAGCACACAGTAGATGTTCAATAAATGTCATGATTATTGCTGTTATTTTTGATCCCCCAAAAATCTTTCCACAGAATATGATGAAGGAATTAAGGGTAGTTTCATCTAGGAAAAAGAAATAGAAAATTCCTCATATAAAATATATATGCGTGTATTTCTATAACAATAGGTAACTATATAAAAGTTACATTTAAACCAACTGTTTTAAGGCTGTTATTTTTTATCTTTTAAAAGTATTTTGTTATTACTTTCCCTGGTAGAATAACTCCCTGAAATAAAATTTCTCTCATTTTAAAAATTTGTATCTAGCACACAAAGTAAAATTATTTAAGACTTCTGGTACAGACAAATTAAAGGATTTTGAGAAACTAGGTCTCAGACATGAAATACAAGACAGGAAAGTTAAACACTAATGCAATAACAACCACCTCTTGTGTTTTAAGTTTATTAATCTCTTATTCCTTTATTGAAATAAGATGCAGAAGCCCACAGTGGATGAGTAATTGCAATTTGTGGCCACTGACTAATTCTAGAGTCTCATTTTATAATCTAATATTTGTGAAGGTTCTTTGGAAATTGTTAAGCATAGTTGTGAAAATGTGGGTATTATTATCAACTCTAACAAGTTATTACAGGGTTAGATGTTTCCCTTGTGAGGGAGATGGTCATGCCCCAATGGTTCTTGTTGGTATGTAGTCAGGCAGCCAAAATTAGGCTACAGGTAAAGTTTGTATTTAAGAAGAAACAACTATCTGATAAACTATAAATTATTTTTCGTATTATAAATACAATGAGGGAGAACTGTGTTTCTCAGAAAAAAAAACTTTTAAGTACAGAATGCAAGATATTTTACAATCTGTCACAGGGGATAAAAAGAATACCACATAGAAAACGAAAAGGCAAATGACAACCTGTGAAAATGTTCGCAGCGTATATGACAAAGGGCACATGTTCCAATAGAGAAATGGGCCTGTAAGTCAATAAGAAAGACACAAATGCTCCAATAAAAGACATGAATAGGCAATTAACAAAGAGAAGAAATTAAAATTGCTAGCCAATATGAGAAATCTTTAAAGAAAGGCAAATCAAAACAACACTTTAGTCTTTTCAAATTATCAAAGGCTCGAAGAATAAGATGGCTAATGAAGTTTGGTGACCCATGGGCACTCACATGTGTGGTTGGTAGAGTGGACGTGGGCACAACTTTGCTTGAGACTATTGGTTCGATGAATTAAAAACTTCAGATATCTTCACACTCTTCGTCTCAGTAATTCTACTCTATAATCAGACTCATAAAGTTTTATAGATGTGAATCTTCCCACCATGGTGTTGCATATAAAATTTTTAAAATGACATAGAGTATGGTTAAGTGAATTATGATCCATCCATGGGCCATTAAAAAATTGAATGTAGGCCTTACTAATAACTACTGCAGCATTTTCAAGTTTGGGTGACCGAGAGGTGATGGCACAGGTAACAGAAGCTATAATAGTGTGGAGCACAGATGCAAGGGAGACATCACAAGAGAACAGCCAGGCAGCAAGGACACCCTTCCCTACTCTCACCTTCCGAGAGTCCCCTTGGCTTCCCACAGTTCCCAAGGTCAATATGCAGATTAAATTCTAATGATGACCCAGACTCATAAACTTAGAGGTTTAGCATTTGCTATAACTCTGACCTTCATAGTGTAGAAGTTAAAGCCACAAATAACATCTTTTTTTTTTTTTTTTTAATGTTTGCCAGGCATGGTGGCACAGTTTTGTAATCCAGTGCTTTGGGAGTCTGAGAGGATTGGATTGAAAGTTCAAAGCCAGCCTCAGAAACTTAGCTAGAGGCTGTAAACAATTTAGCAAGACCCTGCTTCAAAAATAAAAAATTAAAAACAATTTTTAAAAGGCCGAGGATGTGGCTTAGTGGTTAAGCACTCTTGGGTTCAATACCCAGTACCAAAAAAAAAAAAAAAAAAAAAAAGTTGCTTATGCATCACTCAATGCTGTCTATTCTGGGTTTGTTGCCAACTTTTCTGTTACTTCTGTTCTCTTAAAAATAACTTTTTAAAAGTTAAATAGAATCAAAGGTCAGCACACCTATGTTTATTTCTGAGGTATTTTCACTTTAAGATGAATTGCCTACAAAAAAACCTTAGCTTGATTCTTTAGTTTTAGAGATTGCTGGTGTTTCAGAAGGAAATATTTAATTACCTATTTTGTGATCCAGTAATTTCAGTTATAAAACATTTCAGTGGATGAATTATCCACAGGAAAAAAAAAACAATATGTTTTGATCCTTTGTTTTTTAAAAAAATATTTTTTAGTTATAGATGGACCCAATACCTTTATTTATTTATTTATTTATTTTTATGAGTTGATGAGGATTGAACCCAGTGCCTCACATGTGCAAGGCAAGCACTCTGCCACTGAGCTACAACCCCAGCCCTGATCCTTTGTTTTTAACCCTTGCTGTTGGATCTTGAAAAACACAAACTGCATAGTGAATATTTGGAACTTGTAATTGACCATCATTCAGCTAATAATTTAATAACTATAGACAGAATGTTAAAAGTATTAATAAAATTGGATTAGCAATATAAGAAAATAATTAAAGATTCCTGAAATACCTGAGGGCATACTTAATTTTCTCAAGATTTGCTAATTCAGAGATAAAACACCAAGGCCAGCAAGTGGATTATAGTGTGTCTGTGGGATCTGAATCCACCATATTCTCAGAGCAGTCAGGTTGTGGCCTGGGACTTAGGGCCCCTGGACTACTCTCCTGTTATCCAAGTATCTAGACATCACCAGAGATACCAGGTATAGAACACATAAGCCCAGACAGGACAAAGGCCCCATGGAGATGCTAAGAGAAAAATATTTTTCAGGTGCCCAAGAATAACAACCGGCCTGAGGTCAGATTAGTAGGGAGCAGGGTCATGTATGCGAATGAGTGTATATGTGTGTGTGGGGGTCGGGGGGAGGAGGCGCACATGTGCATGCATGCCGACAGATTTGGAAAAACTACTACCACAAAGAAAGGTCACCAACCAACAAAGTTTGATATGGACACGAGAATTAATAAATGAACCAAAGCACTGTTCTAAAATTAACACGGAAAAAGAATAGGCATTAACATAACACAATTATTGCAATCAAATCAAATTAAAGTGGAAAAAAATAGAAGTGGTTTAGTTGCTTTGAAAATAAATTGTTCAAGAAATTACTTACTTAATGGTGTTATATCAAGTACTTGCTCGATACATTTCATAAATTCAGTAAAATTATGATTAGAATGTTTGTATTCATAAATAAGAGTCAGAATGTTTGGGGGAATCTAAACAGGATCCAAATGAGGAGTAGATTGTTCATGGATCACTTAGTGAAACTTGGGAGATGGGAACAATGAAGGATCCCTCTGAGGACTGTTGCCTGACCTGTATCTTTATGCTTCATTTCTATTCTAAGATGAAGGATTTTATTTCACTGGTATTACTATAATGAAAGTTCTTATTTTTTAAATGGGCAGAAAATATGGAATTTGTAACAATAATCATGGTGTTATAAGGCCTAATATTAATGAGTTCCATTCTACTGCACATATACAAGGTAGTAAAGTAGAACCAAATATTTGCACGCATCTTTAGTTTATCACTACATTTTGCACTACCTACTGTGTTCCAGACTACTGTTTCCTGACCACCAGAATCCAGCACATCACCTGACACTTGGGAGGGATCAATAATTGTTTCATATGTAAGTGAATGGATGATGTCCATACAGCCTGGGCATGACTGAAATTCAGCTTTATTTTTGGAAAGTATATTGCAGGTTTTGTATTTACTCTCACACGTTATTAAACGTGGGAAGACAGGATCCAATTTACATGAGGACAAGATCCCTTTGCTTCTTTAGGTCATTTATTTGTCTTTCCTGTTTAGAAGATTATTTAAAATTGCTTATTAGAGAACCGTTGTCTAAATGGAAAGTGACTCTAAATGAAGAAGTCTCAGATCAAGGCCTCTTTTTTCTAAAGTCTCACTCAGAAGGAAGTGAGTACGAGGTGAACTGTACTAACTCAAGGGACTGCAGAGATGAAACTTGAAGGAGGAAGCAACACACCATCAATGTATCGCATGGAGCACGCTGGTGTCATGTGAATAGATATGACAAAAACAGCTCTCCTTAAATTGTTTGTGGCAATAGTGATCACGTTCATTTTAATTTTGCCAGAACACTTCAAGACACCAAAAGGTGAGTGTATAATTGTACTTTAGCTCTTCTTTCTTAATTTGAAAAATTGTCAGTTAATGGTCACAGAAAAGATCCTTTCGGACACATGCTGCATGGGCTGTGTCTGAAAAACTAGTAAAACAAAAGGAAATTATAATTTTAGTTGACTGTTACATAGCACAGTGAATTCTTAGTACTTAGCTCTTGTAGCATACATAAAAATAAAAGGAAACACTTCATAAAAATGAAATGTAACATTTAAAATCTGCAGTCTAGATTTCAAACTTTGAGTTTATAACCATTTTCTCACATGATTTCACTCTTTGAAAGTTTCCTTCAAAACAGTTTTAAGCATGCTTTTACATTCTGAACCTATTTGATAGAGAGAGCAATATTTATTATGATAACATGCTTGAATTCCCTCCATCACAACAATTTTGTGCAAATAAGTTACTGCTGCTTTTGGAAAAATAAGAGTATTTAGATATAATGAGATTGGTGCAAATTTAAACAGGTGTGTGTGTGTGTGTGTGTGTGTGTGTGTGTGTGTGACTAGAGAAAAATGGAACAAAATTAATTCTGTAAAAACTTCAGAGAACTCTTACATGATCACTGAAACTTTAGAAAAATAGATGTAAATGTGAACTATGTTAGTAAAAGATTTAAAGACACAGTAATGTAAATGTTTAGATGTAATTGTGCTCTCTAGCACTTAGTAGGAAAAAAGTGAAAAAAAATACTCTATCATTAAATAGAAATCATACGAATTTATTTAAATCAGTGAAAAACTTATATTTGATGATTTGCAGCAATGAATATTTATTGTTGCATATGTGTGATGCTAAGTCATCTGATAAAAATGTTTTTGCTAATTATATTTGATGCCATATTGCAATGATTATTTAATGTTGCATATTAAATGATGCTAAGTAGCCGAATAAAAATATTTTTGCTAAATAAACACTATAACTGAAATTTTGCAAGAGATTGAATTCTTAAAATTTCTTTTTGTTTGCCGCCATGATGTTGTTCAAATTAAGCAATCAGGGCATATATTTTTAATGCTTGATTTCCCTGGGTGAAAATATGTTACACAGAGAATAGTTAGAACAAAGAAAATCTATTTTTAAGCTACTGTGGGCTGAGAGTAAACTCATTCAATAGTTATATAAGGTAGATACCTATCGCCTCCTAACAATCATTTGAATTTAATGAAAACCAGGAAATTAGCTCAAAAAAGATATAATGCCCTATTTGCTAACTATTGGTTAGTGTTTTATGAGAACTAGTGACTCCAAGAACCTGCCAACATTCCTCTTTTTTTGGTTAGATGCACAGTTTTTTTTTAGTTCTTTCTGAGTGTGACACTTGGCCTTCTGGGACAGTGGCAACAGAGAGATGTCAAGTGCAGCTCAGAAATTCACAGGGAGGAGCCCCTGGAGGCCCTTGTTTTTGTGAGTAGAAGAAAAGAGCTTTTATAAAATTCACCTTAGCCAAACTTCCCTGGCCTAACAGTAATGTGTCAGTAGTTCATCTTGATGATAATCAGCTATCTTTGATTCTTTGATTGGGATGTTTCTCTTAATTTCCTCAGCTCCAATGCTGCTCTCCCAGACTGAAAATAATAGTTTCTTCAAATGCTTTGGGATGATGGAATTATTTGAGAAATTTGTTTCAAAGGATCCTTATTTGGGACCAACAAACAAGAATGTTTGAACACCACTGTTTTTTTCTGATGCCCTTTGGTGGTAGAAGGAATTTTGCAGAGTCACTATAAGAAAAGGGTTGCTTATTAGGTAATATGTTTTGCCCATGCAATAGTGTAATAATAATAATGCTTTATTTTTTTTAAGGTTATGGATCATCAGGAGCATGTTCGTGTAGCCTCATTTAATGTAGTCCTATGTTGATTAAGGAGATTTAAATATAATTGTTTGCATTTTAAATTTTTTTTTGTGTGTGGGGGTGTACAGGGGTTTGAGCTCAGGGGTACTCAGCCACTGAGCCACATTGCCAGCCTTATTTTGTATTTTATTTAGAGACAGGGTCTCACTGACTTGCTTAGCACCTTGATTTTGCTGAGGCTGGCTTTGAACTCGTGATCCTCCTGTCTCAGCCTCCTGAGCCACTGGGATTACAGGCACATGCCACCGCCTGGCACTAAATTAATTTTAATCACAATATCAGTTGGCCTATAAAATGAATTGAATTGTCAACCAATGTCTTTCACAAATAAAGTATTTGGCAAAATTATTTCAATAATAAGCTAAGAGTGTTCTAGAAGTAGGAAAATTAACCTTGACATTCTCCTGTCTAGTCCTACTTTGCCAGTTACTTGTTTCGCTTTTCCTCCTTCATATAAAATGTTCTATTTGCTTTAATTTCTAAAATAAATATCATAAGATGATTTTTACTTATAAATTATTCACTGATACCCTGTCTTTAATATGTCAAATGAATTCAAAAGGAATCTTAATGAGGAGTAATATATTCATGAAGTTTAATAGATTTGATTTCAAAATAATAAACCCTCTGAAGTCCTAAGTTAAAAATAGAGCACCATGTTTGATAATTTTTCATCAAGAATGTATCTGAGTCTTCGAATCATTAGTAGGAATATTCAATTATCATAATTATGCAGTCTACGCTATTTAAGAAGGGGAATTTCTTAAACATTGAGTCTTTTAATAAGTTTGCATTGGGTATGCACTGGCAAGATAATCTCTTTTATAGCAGTATTTTTAACTTTTCCATTAATTTAAAAGGCAGCTAAGATACCACAGTTAATGTAATAGTTTAACACACTTAGATTTCATGGAGATAATGGAAATACAGATGAGAATGGATATATTTTGCAATTATAGAAACATGGAGCTCCCAAATACAACTTCACCAATATGATTTTATTGGACTTAGTGCTTAAGAGACTTGGTTAACATCTATGTACACCCCAAGGCTCTTTCATTTATTTATTCTTTCACTTATCACAATACTGGCTACCCATGTTAGGAACATGGGGTTGCAAAAATGAAAGGTAAGTCTTCCTTTGAGAAGTTTCAGCCAGAGGGAAGACTGGCAGGCAATTAGAGACAGTCCTAAAATCAGAGTCAATACTGATTGGGCTGTAAAAACAGCATTGTAGAAACATGAACACAGCTTTCAGGCTTGTCTTGAGGAGGATATTCATTTCTATTTCCTTTGGCCAAGGAAAATAACAACTGGCACAATTCCAATGATCACCTAATAGTCCTCCTTACCTGCTTACAGAAGCATATAGAAGCAAAGATTATTGTTGATTTTTAAGTAAAATATTCTAATATCAATATCTCAAAAATTCCTAAAACTAGAAATGGTTGGGAGTCATACAAATATACTCCCAGTGATTTGTGGTGATGCAGGACAAGAATAGCACAGATGAAAACACCTCGAATCTAATTTTATCTAGCTGTTTTGACTTCTTCACTTACTTTTAAGAGCCAAAACTCATAAACCGTGTTTACTAGCTTTCATATTCCCTTCCATCTCACACTTTCTGATGGAAATGATACATAATGAACAGTAAAACTGAAGAAAACCATGGATAAAGGAAGTTTACTTACAAATTATAGGATAAACCCTGAAGCATAGGGAATATATTCACATTATTTATGTACATATTATAAAGACCAGTGTTTCAAGGGTTACTACAATTAATTTCCTTAATGTGTTATTCTTGATCTCAAAATGGGCACTGTATTTTCATTGTATTTGGTTCAGAAAAAAATTGTTACCCTCGCTAAGGTTTGAAATAACTACTTTGTGTGTGTGTGTGTGTGTGTGTGTGTGTGTGTGTGTATGTGTGTGTGTGTGTGTGTGTGTAAGAGAGAGAGAGAGAGAGAGAGAGAGAGAAATAAGGGGAGTCTCACTATGTAGTCTGGGCTGATGTTGAACTCTTGGACTCCAATGATCTTCACACCTCACTCAGCCTCTTGAGTGCCGGAACCATGAGTGTATTCCCATGCCCTGCTCACAATTTTTAAAAATTTCCATGTACTATGTACCATGCCAAACACTTGCAAATAGTAACTCACTATAATTCTTTAAATATTTGAACTCAGGGGTACCTTAGGATGTGTGAAGCTCTGGGTTCAATCCCCAACATGCTTGCTAGCGCGCACGTGTTCTCTCTCTCTCTCTCTCTCTCTCTCTCTCTCTCACACACACACACACACACACACACACACACACACACACACATTAACTTGCTCATGGCAAAGCATCCTGCTCAAGAGAATATTCTGAAAACTTTAGGAAGAAGGAATAAAACTGGACGGGTTTGTTGCAGTTTCAAAACGACTACTAGTGGATATGCTGTGATTATGTATATATCGTAGACAATATGTCCTGGCAAAAAGTGCAATGAAACATGACGGTTTTTACTGTTTCTCAAGAACTGGCCTTATTGACTAACCTATAGGTTGCAATACCAACAACCCCAGGATATTTCTAACTGCTTGTCTTCCTGTTTTGGAGGGCGAAACTCTCTTAATATATCTTTTTTTTTTTTAATGGAAAAGATGACTTTCTGTAAAACATGAATATGGTGACATATCTTCCCCTTACACCATTCTATTTCTTTTATCATCTATATTTTATCACCTGTGTAACTTATTAGTTTATTATGTATTTTTAAACTACATTTCCACTCTTAAAAATATATATATATTTAAAATATTTAAATATTTTTTAAAATATATATATTTAAAATATATATATAGGTGGACACAGTACCTTTATTTTATTTTTATGTGATGCTAAGAATCAAACCCAGTGCCTCATGAGTGCTAGGCAAGTGCTCTACCATTGAGCCACAACCTCAGCCCCTATTATCTATTTTTTAATCATCTGACTTCTCCAAAATAGAATAGAAGCTACATGAAAATGAGGCTTTTGTTTATTTATTTATCTATCTATCTATCTATTTATTTATTTATGTTTACTGATGTATTTTAAGCAGTTAAGACAGTACCCATAATATTAGG